CATACATGGGGAAGCGGTCTTCCTCGAACTTTGAGCATATTCGAGCGGTGGGAGTCGGTCACAAGATCTTGAAGTTCCTTTGGAAACCTTCCTGATCGCCACCATACTCGACGACAGTGTAAGCCTGCCTCCTACTATAACTGTATATCGAGGCTATTCCTCGAGGCTCTGCCCTGACCCAAGCCAATGCATGATCATCGACCGTGTCAACCAAGTTAACACCCTCCTCGGCTATACTGGTCTCTTCGACATCCATGTGCTCAGAAGATTCAGTCATTTTACCTGTAAAGTAGAGGAAACCAGTGAATTCGACAGCAAATCCAAATCTATCCCTCCATAACGCAAGTGAAATGGTTATGCGGCACCCAGACCAAGTCAACACTCACTCGAGCAGAAAGGGGAATTACACGGCCTTCGATCAGGGCACGAAAATCGTGTCAGTCTTATAATACCACACAACGGTTATAACGACGAACATTTGTTTTCATGAACACCTCGGGCACATGATGAATACAGCGAACAAAATATGAATTTGCCAGCCAAAATCATGAATTCTCCAGGAATTGCATCAATTTCTTGTGCAAAATTCATGAATTTCACGGGGACGTGTGGAGACCACAGGGTAAATTCACCTAAGTGTCGGTGAAAAGATGAATAACACTGACTTAAACACAAAAAGTACGCATGAATACCCCGAGCAAACCCCCCCAGGTGCAAAATTCTACAACTTAAACATCATCAAAGCCAATCTAAACAAGAGTATCACGAAAAATACTTACTTGAACAAGAATATATGAGGAATAACGAGGGTAGATGAAGAACACGCGGCAAATTCTGCAGTGGTGTTAGCGGTTAAAGAAAATGGCACGGTGTTGGAAATAGGGAGAGTGAAGAGCGTGAGAATGTAAATGTGAATAATGGGCCTTGAGGCGCTATATATAGAGCTGACGTGGAATGCGAAACATCGCGTCGGGCAACTTAACAACCCCCTTTCTCCTTGACACTTACGCGCTCAGCTAATGATGACCCCCACTCCCTAGGCCATCATTACAATCCCAAAGGTCACGCCACGTGCCTACACCCCACAAGCTTTCTCCTCCCCGCGACTAGAATGATCCCATCTCGAGTCCATTCCGAACGCTGCTCGGGTAAACCCATATATCGACGACTTTCTCTGTCAGCACAATGAAAGATCCTCGTCGAGTAACGCACCTCGTAAAAGAAAAAGCTGGACTTAAGTCATAACTCCTTCATCAGGAGCAACGACTTGGGGGGCTCATGTTCTAGACTGGGCCTGCCCTTGGCCTAACTCCGTGTGAGGCCCAACCCAATTATGTCGGTCAAGGCATACTGGTCAGTTCTGCCCTTGACTGCATCGGGCAACAACTTTCACTCCCCGCAAGGAGGCAACCTCATCACACGGGGATAAACCCAGTTAGTCGTAGGAAGATCATTGCTGGTCAGGAGGACCTCGAAGTTATCTTCCGATCCTCTCCGTGACCAAGACTGATCCCCTCACACGACAGCGCGTCTGGCGGGGAGCATCAACAACGAGTAGAAGCACCTCACGAGCATCCTCCTCGTAGGGCTGACTATCAACGTCTCTGAATATCACAGAGTCTTCGTGGCCCCAGAAAGACCACATGCATATCCTCCTGATCTTGCGAAGATAGTCATCCAGGTGGGGGACCACGCACTGGTTCCCACTACTCACGTAGGACCTGACAGTCTCCACTTTGGGCCTGCTTGACCAGCCTAATGAGGAGACCTTGGCCCAACACTGAGGGCTATAAATACCCTCTCTTTCGAGAGGGTCATATATTGAATATTTATCACTCTCTTACTTGCTTGCTCACTCTGAATCTCACTTTGGCATCAGAGTCTCTTGCAGGTACCTCCACCTCACTCTTAACTTCTGCTCGACGTAAGTTGTGACGGTCCATTCTGGTCAGGTACGATCAATTACTAAACAAATATAATTTTCTCTTCTTTTGAAGTTTAAAAATAAATATGCTTAAATGTAGCACAGGAAAAATGTATTAATTTTTACAATTATTTATGTTACTAATATAGAAATTAATGAGACAAATATTTATAAGTAAAAAATATTAGACAAACATATGTAAATAATGTCTGAATTAAATAACATTACAATTATATGCTAATATAAATAATTCATAATTATTTTATGATCACCAAAACAAAAATATTATATATATATATATATATATATATATATATATATATATATATATATATATATATATATATATATATATATATATATATATATATATATATATATATATATATATATATATATATATATATATATATATATATATATATATATATATATATATATATATATATATATATATATATATATATATATATATATATATATATATATATATATATATATATATATATATATATATATATATAATTTTATTTTATTAATTGTGTGAATTTTATAATAATAAATACTTTATAAATTTAATCAATTACATGAACTTTAACACAAGTAATAATATAATGAACACACCACCCATACAAATGCCCGAGTTTTCATATTAAAATTCGTGTAAACTCATAGGTTATTATATTTTTTACACAATTTAGAAACATATGTGTGTAATGGGTAAATACCCGTATGAACACACGAGTTTCAGATCATAATTTCTACAAATCTACAGGTTATTATATTTTTTTGTACAATTAAAAAAATAAATAAATATTTTAAATAATATTTGAATCCAAACATGAGAAAAACGTATTATTTTTTAACTATTTATGTTACTAATATTATTATTTTGATTTTTTTTAATTTAAGATACAACATTTTAAAGATAATATATCAAAATTTAAAATATATATTATTGATGTAAAAAACTTTTGGTAAAACAATTTTATTTTTCTTTAAATTTTTTTTTAAATAATAAAAAAATTTGATAAAACAATTTTGTTTTTCTTATTTATATTTTTATTACATTTTAAAAACAAAAGCGTGCGTACCACACCAATACCCGTGCGAACGCACAGATAACATGTCAATATCGTGTGAATGCACGAGTAACCATACCAAAACTCGTCCGAACCCACAAATTATTATTATTTTTTACAATTAAAGAAAATAAAGGTAAATATATTTAAAATAATATATAAATCTAAACACGGGAAACATGTGTTATTTTTTAATTACTTTATGTTAATAATATTTTTGTTTTGACATTTTTTTAATTTAAGATAATATATGAAAATTTGAAATATATATTATTGTAAAATAATTTTGGTAAAACAATTTTGTTTTTATTTTAAAAATATATCTTTCTTATAAAAATAATAATTTTATTTGGTAAAATATTTTTATTTTTCTTATTTATTTTTTATTACATTTTGAAAACAAAAATGTGCGTCCCGCTAATTTACAATAGATTATTGATCGTATCTGATCAGATGATCAGAAGGAATCGTCGGTGGCCCACGAACTTGGACTGAGTTGCGGTGAAGGTGAAGTGAGGGTACCTGCAAGACACTTTGGTGCCAAAATAAGGTTCAGAGCAGAATGTAAGTAATAAAAGTGTGAAGAATATATACCTGACTCTATAGTGAAAGAGGGTATTTTTAGTCCCCAACGTTGGGCCAAGGGCTCTATTTGGGCTGAATGCTCAGACCTAAAATAGAGATTGTCATGATCCTACGCGGCAATGAAGACCTGTTCATGGTCTCTATCCTGGTTTCAACTGCTCCGTGATTCTCGCATGTGAAGACTCGTTCTTCTTGAGAGTAGGATGAATCTGTGGTAGTTGGAGGAATGTGGGCTGCATGTCGTTGATGTGCATATCCGTTCCGAGGAACAGGTCTCCGACGAACACAGTTAGAAGAGGCTCTTTGTGCGTGTGATGAGGGCCAGGTCTACAACGAGTATACTTAAGAGACGGTCTCGACGGGCACGTGCTGAAGAGCAGGTCTTCGTCGAGCATGGTGGAAGAGTTCCTTCACAATGCGGACTTGCCCGACTGGAAACTAAGTCTAAGTTTGAGCCCCAACAGATTATTAGGCCTTTAATAATATTGAACTAGACTTTGTCCAAAAATAAATGAACGTTGGTCCAGTCCAAAACAATTATGATCCTCTTTTATTTTTTTTATATTTATAGTTGCGATCATTTTATTGATGCAATTGTTTCATTGTTCCATAGATGTTTGACTATCAAATTGCATTTATGGTTACACCAAATATTGAACCATAACTTTAGTATTCATGGCTAAAACAATTGTATATACTCCGAATACCCTAATTTATTTTGATAGTTACTATTTACCCTAATTTTTTTTTTTATGGTTGCTATTCACCTTAATTTGATACTAGAAATGTCAAAATTAATCCCTAGAGTATATCCACGTGGATAAAAAACGATGCGTTCGACTAATGTCATTCATTTAAATGCCACAAGTCACCTCACGTATTATACTAGTACTTTTTTCGAGACAAATACTAGTATATAAATGTAGTCTACTCTGTATTACCTCAAACAAAATTTAATTACTCTACTCTCCTCTCTCGACCTGTCATCACGCTTCAGGTTACCGTGCGAGCATCTCCCCCTCGTCGTCACAAGCCGTTACTCGTCGTTACATTGCACACACACACTCTCTCTCTCTCTCTCCGAATCAGCAGAAAGCTCCGTCACATAGCGCAGGTAACTCTCTCTCTCCATCACTCTCTCTCCATATCTATATATTATTTTATATGTTGTTTGATACAGTGTGTATATGTTTTCTTCTAATAAACTCTATGTTCAACACTATCCTACAATTAACACCACTTATTATTAATTTTTTTAAAATATTTATTTTCTTCAATTAGGATTCTGATTTTGCATTCAAACGCGAGGTTTTACTTTCTGATGATGAACAAGTTGAAATCCACCGCATAAGAGGAACAATTATTCAACAATTTTTTCAAAATTCAGTTAAAACCTAGGGTTCATATCAATGGATAACGAAGATTTGAGGCCAGGGACGAAAAAGAAGAAGAGATCCAAACCGATTGAAATTGGTTTTGATTCGGATAACGATAAGCCAATTGGATCGTTTTTGAAGTTGAAGAGGAATAAGAAGAAGGTTAGTTTTGCATCAGGGGGTTCTTGTGGTGGAGATTCTGTTAAGGAAAATGAGAATTCTAGGGTTATGGATGATAATGATACCTTGGCTACCTTTAGAAAAAGGTTGAAGGGTCCAAAGAGAGATCAGGGATATGGTTTGAATGTTTCTAATGAGGGTGATGGTTTGGGAAGTGGCGGATCTGGGAAAGGTGATGATAACATGCAGCTGCGTCATGATCATGATTCTGGTCAGCATATGGAAGAATCCTTGTCTACGATTTTCCACAAGGCGCAGTTTAGTTCTGTTAGGAAATCCCGTGGAGCGTTAGGTTCAAAGCAGAAAAAACGGAATCGGAGTGTGGATAGTGGGTTGAAACATGGTTCCCGGAGTTTAACAGAAAATGTAGATTATGTGGTTGAAAGTAGATCTGGATCTGCTTTTACCTTGAAATCGGTTGAGAGAAATCATGAGTCTGATACGTTTTGTTCAGTATCTGCGATGGAGAATCAACAGGGTAGTGGTGACTGTTTGCAAGATGAAAAGGCCAAGGGTATTTGTGATTCAAACATTCCTGATGAACCGTCGGTTGATCACTCTAACTCGATCATTGCCTGCGATGGTGATAGACAGCTATTGTCAATTGTACAAGTTGTAAATGTTTGTGGTGCTTCTGACGAAAAGGTTACATTGCAAGAAAAAATTATCGATAATAGTTTGAATCGGTGTTCTTCCATGTTACAAGATGTTGAAATAATTGATATCGACTCTCTCTCTAAAGTGGGGGAAGGGGTGTGTGGACTTTCTGAGACAGCAGAGCTTGAGAATAATAGATCAACTGATGAAATAGCAGAAGAACAGGTGCGTAATGGTGCTTCAGAAGGAGGTGTTTCTTCTTCCGCAGAGAAAGAAGTTTTGTTAACTTGTCACACCGAGCTCTTGATAAAATTAAATGAAAATAATCCCATGGTTTCTGGAAAAAGGTTCCAGGAATCTTCAATCAATGGAGGTAAAAAATTGGAAACTGAGTTTGTTTCTGGTAGAGATTGCTATGATTATAGTCCTTTAGAAACAAATGCTGAAGTGCAAGATGTTGTTGTAGGCTGCTCATCTGAAAAACATGAAGCAATTGCCAGTGGTAGTTTATCCTCTGTTTTGCCTAACGATGCCAATGAATCTGAATTGATTGTCCAGTCAAATCACCCGGACAAACCTTTGGAAATGTGTAATATTCCAAAATACTCTAATGCACCCATTCTGAAGTGCAGCTATGCGTTAGATCCAAATCAATCTGATGGATCCTCTATACAATCTTCAATTCCAGATGAAAATGGAAACACTGCAGAATATCACGTCTCTGTGTCTGATTTTGCTGACAATGGTGGTAAGATATCTAGCATTCCTCGGGCAACACGAAAGACCAAAATGAATAAGCACGGCGACATGACTTATGAGGGGGATGCTGATTGGGAGATTTTAATAAATGATAAAGCCCTAATTGGAAGCCAAGATGCTGCAGACGGTGAACACACTCTTAGAACAAGAGTAAAGCAGGATTCCTCTTTGAATGCTGTTGAGGACTCTGAAAGTGTTGCAGTAGCGGCAGTATCTGCTGGGCTGAAAGCTCGTGCAGTCGGTCCAATTGAGAAAATAAAATTTAAGGAGATCTTGAAGCGTAAAGGTGGTCTCAAGGAATATTTAGATTGCAGGTAGTTAAGCTTTCAAACAAGTCTTTGTATTTGCTTGCAATTGTTTTCTTTCCCAAATGATAGAAAGTTACAGCATTTTGGTTGTTTTTTTTTGTTTCTTGTGCTTCAAATACAGAGAACTATTTTAGATCATGCGACTGATTATTGAATGTATACTTGCTTTAGCTGGTTAATCATGGAAATTAAAATTGTGAATTATGTTCAAGTTACAGATGTACTTATATAAGTGGGCAAATGAACAACTATTTTGTTTTAAAAAATTGGGGAAGGGGAAGATTTCTAATAATTAATGTGGCACTAATGGCCAATTTCTGTTCCTGGGGGATTTGAAGTCTGTACCCTGAGGTTAAAAGGCTAGGCTCTTGCCGTTGAGTTAACCCCTTAAGTGTGTGTAGACAAATGAACAACTTGTTAGTGGTCATTCAAAAATAAAAATAAAAGGGATTGTAAGCACATACCTTTTGTTAGATGCCTGTTTGTTGGTTCATTTTTTTCTTCCTCTTTGCCATTCTTTGTTCCTGGATTTTATTTATATTTGGTGTTGTATTTTCTTTTGAAAGTGCCTTACTCTTGTATTTAGCTGGAACTGCAAAGCATAATTGCACACTTCCTATAATTTAGGAGTGAATTTATCTTTATTTTCTTTTTGTATATTTGGAATTTTCTGTTGGGTTGTATATTATATGGAATTTTCTGTTTGGAATTTTCTAAAACTGACTTTAGCCAAACACTATGACTTTGTTACACATCTTTCAAACCGGGAAGCTTGTAATAAGCTTTAACACTCAAATTCAACGCGATGCAGGAATAAGATCTTAAGCCTATGGAGCAGTGATGTCACACGTATTTTACCTCTTGCTGAATGTGGAGTTAGTGATACCCATTCTGAGAATGAAAGTCCTCGTTCTTCTCTTATTAGGGAGGTCTATGCATTTCTTGATCAATATGTAAGTTTGTTCACCATGTTGTTTAGCCACTAATAGTCATTTGCTATTTATTGGGTTTATTAATTTGGAATACATTTCCTTTCAGAAAAAAAAATACTAGTAGTGTTTATTTGCTAGTACCATTGGAAATTTAAAATGATTAGATCGTTTTGACAGGGTTATATAAATGTTGGAGTTGCCTCTCAAAAGGAGAATGTTGAGAGCTGTGCAAGACATTGTTACAAACTTGTAAAAGAAAAAGGATTCGAGGAAAATCCTACAGCTTCATTGGCCGGCTCTGAAGATGGAGTTTCATTTAATGTTGGTCAGACTAAGATGTCATATGCTTCTATGGACATTAACAATGATCTAATAAAGGATTTTGAAGACCTGACAACTGAGGCTGCAGAGGGCATGATGCATGTTGACGAAGTGATGAGAGATTCATCAAACATGGCACAACATGAAAGAAAAAATTATGATGACCAGGAAAATGTCGGGATTCAGGATGGAGTCAATGGAATTCTACATTTCAATGATGACAGTGCTGTCCCTTCTTTTAACTTTCCTGATTGCAGATTGACTTCTCTTGTTGCTACAAAACAAAACAGTGAATCTAAATGTGTTAAACATGCATTAGGGGATCAGATAGGTGATACTCTGCAGTCTGATTTAGAAGCTAGAAAGAGAGTGATTATAATTGGAGCTGGTCCTGCTGGGCTAACTGCTGCTCGCCACTTGAATCGCCAGGGGTTTACTGTAACTGTGCTTGAGGCTAGGAATAGGATAGGAGGTCGGGTATTTACAGATCACTCGTCTCTTTCTGTCCCTGTGGATCTTGGTGCTAGCATTATCACGGGTGTTGAGGCTGATGTGGCCACTGAGAGAAGACCAGATCCTTCCTCCTTGGTTTGTGCTCAGCTGGGCCTCGAATTGTCAATGTTAAACAGTGACTGCCCTCTTTATGACACAGTGACTGGTCAAAAAGTTCCTTCAGAAATGGATGAATCACTGGAAGCTGAATACAACAGTCTTCTTGATGACATGGTACTGGTTGTTGCTCGGAAAGGTGAACAAGCAATGAAAATGTCTCTTGAAGATGGTTTAGAATACGCCCTTAAGATTCGCCGCATGGGACTTTCTGAAGGTAGTGAAGAAACTAAGCAAAATTTTGATGAGGAGATTTTGGATCCTCAGGAGAGGAGGGTTATGGATTGGCACTTTGCTCATTTGGAGTATGGCTGTGCTGCTTTGCTTAAAGAAGTTTCTCTTCCCTATTGGAATCAAGACGACGTGTATGGAGGATTTGGAGGACCTCATTGTATGATCAAAGGAGGTTATAGCACTGTTGTTGAGTCTCTTGGAGAAGGGCTTGCTATTCACATGAACCACACTGTCACAAATGTGTCATATGGTATCAAAGAACCTGGCCAGAATAATAAAGTCAAAGTTTCTACATTGAATGGCAATGAGTTTTTTGGAGATGCTGTCCTCATTACTGTCCCACTTGGCTGTTTGAAAGCTGAAACCATACAGTTCTCCCCCTCTTTGCCGGAGTGGAAATGTTCTTCCATTCAGCGTCTTGGCTTTGGAGTTCTCAATAAAGTGGTTTTGGAATTTCCTACTGTGTTTTGGGATGATGCGGTGGACTACTTTGGAGCAACAGCTGAGGATAGAAGCAAAAGAGGTCACTGCTTTATGTTCTGGAATGTCAAGAAAACTGTTGGGGCTCCTGTCCTCATAGCATTAGTGGTTGGTAAGGCAGCCATTGACGGTCAAAGTTTAAGCTCTTTTGATCATGTCAACCATGCATTGAAGGTTCTTCGGAAACTTTTTGGGGAGGCTTCAGTTCCTGATCCTGTGGGATATGTTGTGACTGATTGGGGTAGGGATCCCTATAGCTTTGGTGCTTACTCTTATGTTGCTGTTGGAGCATCAGGAGAAGACTACGATATCTTAGGAAGACCAGTTGATAACTGCTTGTTTTTTGCTGGTGAAGCAACCTGCAAAGAACACCCTGACACTGTTGGTGGTGCAATGATGAGTGGACTACGGGAGGCTGTTCGCATAATTGACATATTGAACACAGGAAATGACAATACTGCAGAGTTAGAGGCATTGGAAGCTGCACAGGGACAGTTGGACACCGAAAGGAATGAAGTTAGGGACATAATAAAGAGACTTGATGCAGTTGAGCTTTCTAACATACTATATAAGAACTCTTTTGAGGGTGCTCAAATCATAACCCGAGAAGCTTTATTAAAGGAAATGTTTCTCAATGTGAAAACCAATGCTGGGCGATTGCATGTGGCCAAACAATTGCTAAGTCTTCCTGTTGGAAACTTGAAGTCCATTGCTGGAAGTAAGGAGGGGCTAACTGTCCTCAACTCCTGGATACTGGTACTATTATACTGCGTGCCACTTTATTCCCAAATTATTGTATTTTTTCACATTATGTGCTTCATAGTTCATATCTAAAAACAGGACTCAATGGGAAAAGATGGCACCCAACTCTTGAGGCATTGTTTGCGTCTTCTTGTGCGCGTGTCCACTGATCTAGGTGCTGTACGCTTATCAGGTAGTTATTTTGTTTATTTATTTTTTGTATGAATTTACATTAGTCTATTCACGTGAAAATGCATGAATTTCTGTAAAGTTTTTTTTGTCATTCTGCTTGATATCATCTAATATTTGGAGGAATAAGTAGTTGGTTATCTGATGGGACCTGGTTTGGGTGATATGAAAATGATTTATCCAGTACCATTTGATAAGATGCACTTTTATATTAATGTCAGTCCTATATCTTTTCTTATGATTATCAATTCCTATCACTTGATCAGCCGAATGAAACTATGAATTATCAAGTAGAAGATATGTTTAAGCTCATGTAGATTATCGTGTCTGTATGGAGTCATGTGGAAATATGATGTAAATCTTTTATTGGGTGTAGGAATGGGGAAAACAGTGAAGGAAAAAGTTTGTGTACACACTAGCCGTGATATTCGAGCTATAGCTAGCCAATTGGTCAATGTATGGCTTGAAATTTTCCGCAAGGAAAAAGCTTCTAATGGGGGATTAAAGTTGTCAAGGCAAATAACTACTCTAGAATTATCAAAGAGAAAATCTTTAAAAGATTCAGCCTCAGGGAAGCCTCCTCTAAGCATACATCAGAGTGCCGTAGAGAATAAAGAAGGCTTGCTGAATCCTGTATCTGCTGGAAGCAATTCACCTTCAACCACACATGCGAGGAAATGGCACAGCAAACAAGGAAGACAACAATCAGCATGTGACTCAAGGCATGAAGTCAGTTCTTCCAGGTCTCAAGGTTCAATAGACAAAATAGACACTAAGCAGGAAAATAAACGCTATGCCATGTCTGAAGAAGAAAAGGCTGCTATAGCTGCTGCAGAAGCTGCCCGTACTAAAGCAATTGCTGCTGCTGAGGTTTGTGAATCGATCTTGCTTCTGAAGATTACTTTCTAGTGACAAACTAAATTGCCTGACCACTCCCTTTGCATGCATATGCACTAGATTTGATAATATGAAGATTTATTAGGTGCAAACTACTATAATCTTAATAAGTTATTGTGTTGGGAAAAAGTCTTGCTGTGATTCATCGTAAGTGGAATTAAGCATTTTTTGGGCTCTCAAACAAAAGCTGCTAGTTCCTCTCCTTTTACAATTTATATTCAATATTCAGTTTTTATTAAAGCATTCCATTTGAAGTACGGGTCTTTGGTCAAATTTAACGAAATTTTTTTAGATATTTGTCTATTAAATAACTTATAGACGAATCTTATTTTATTTTTTAAAAATTGGAACTTTTCTTTCTTGTATTTTACTGCTAAACTGAAGTTATATTGAACCATGATTAATTTGAGTCAAGTTTAGTGGGTGGATTCATTTAGATGGCCCCATTTTTTCATTCACAAGACTGAAATCTGAAACTTTCCTCAAGGGAAGTTGAACTTCATGCCACATATACTAGTTGGCATTGATATTTTAAATTTTAGTCTAGTTTCGAATTCATACCACTTGAACTAGTAGGCGTTGATATTTTAAATATTATTCTAAATTTCTAATTGGGTTACACATTTGCCATCTGAATTTAGCTTGTTGTAAAAAAAAATTGATTCCCTTGTGAAATTTGTCAAAAATCTTTCTTGTGCTTTGCTAGTTGATTTTGTTGTTGACATTTTTGTAACTGCTTCCCTTGCCTGTGTGTCAAGTGTGAAATCCTTAATCTGTTTTCTTCCGTGCTTTTGATTTTTAAGATTTTTGATCTTCTTTCCGTTCCTTCCTGGTTTACCAAATCTCCATTTGTTTTATCTTTCAATCATGGACTGTTCCTTCCTGGTTTACCAAATCTCCATTTGTTTTATCTTTCAATCATGGACTGTGTTCGTGAAAGAGTCATGTCCATTTGCAACTTGTGTCAAATATTTGATGTGGCATGCACTTTACTCTTGGGGACAAATATTCCTAAATTTTTATTTACTTGGGTATTAGGAATAATTTATGTTGAAAATTTACGACGATATATTTTATTTATGTGGTTCTTGTTCCTTTCCCTACTTGGCTTCCAATATTCCTTAAAAGACTCAGTGGTTCTTGTTCTTTGCAGGCATATGCCTCTGCAGAAGCTAGGTGCAGTACACTGTCACAGCTTCCGAAGATACCCTCATTCCATAAATTTGCTAGACGAGAGCAGTATTCACAAAATGATGAGATTGATAGTAGAAAAAAGTTACCCGGTGGTTTGTTCGGAAGGCAAGATTGTGTTTCCGAGATCGATTCTAGGAATTGCAGAGTTAGGGAATGGTCTGTTGATTTTTCCACCGCTTGTGTTAATTTTGATAGTTCTAAAATACCGGTTGACAATCTCTCACAGAGGAGTCATTCAAATGAGATTGCCAGCCATTTGAATTTCGGAGAGCGCTCAGGAGAAAGTGCTGCTGTGGACAGTAATCTATATACAAAAGCTTGGATTGACACAGCTGGTGATGGGGTAGTAAAAGATCATCTTGCCATAGAGAGATGGCAATCTCAAGCAGCTGAAGCTGATTCTTATTTTTCTGATCAAATCAATCATTTGAAGGATGAGGAGGATTCAAATGCCTATTCAAGGTTACCCAGATGGAAACATGATGGTGTAGTAAATGAGAGTTCTGTTTCCCAGGTTACTGTAAATAAGGAAGAGGCCTTCAAAGGCCATTCTCGAGGAGCAGATCATATTAAACAGGCTGTTGTTGACTATGTTGGATCACTACTTATGCCCCTTTATAAGGCTAGGAAACTAGACAAGGATGGATACAAGGCAATAATGAAGAAAAGTGCAACAAAGGTAATTTTCATCTTCCACTTCTTTGCTTATCGTTTGTGTTTTGTAAGTAGTGTTGTGACTTGTTAGGTAGGAGATTTTAGGGAATAATAACTGATCTAGAATACCATCTTATGTGACATGGTATTCTTTCAGGTCATGGAGCAAGCAACGGATGCAGAAAAAGGCATGACTGTTCGTGAGTTTCTAGACTTTAAGCGAAGGAATAAGGTACTCTTTTGTTATTTTCTATGTTGCTTTACTAATTCCATAGCACTTCCTCCAAGACACAACACAATTTATGTTCCTGACATAAATGTTATTTATGTTCCTGATGTTAACACAATTTACTGCTTGGACTCAAGCTTCTTGGGGTCTGATGGGCTGGCTGCAGCCTTAATTAATTGATTTTCTTTTGCTATTTTTTTTTCATGATTGTTGTGCTTATTTTGCAAACAGTCTTATAGATGCTTCTGACATTCTCTTAATTGTTTTCTTCATCACTATTGTCTGAGTGCCTGAAACATGCAGATTCGCTCGTTTGTGGATATATTGATTGAGAGACATATGGCAACAAAACCGGGTACAAAATCATAATATTCTTTCGGTTGTACGGGTGTACTTTTTTGTGCTTCTCCACAAAGGTTGTCCGAGTCTGGTTCTTACAATTCTCGGCTTGGTGGTCGTGGGTAAGTTCTCATATGAGCATTTCAGGCTTCCGATATAAATGATCCAGAAGCTGCTACGGAAGTAACAGATACTAGTTGATCGATCCAAATCAAGTGGGCTCTGGAAAATTGCTGTCTTGGCAACCATGAACAGAATAAGGGTGACAGATAAAAGTTGGTTGACTCAAATCAAGTGGGATCCGGAAATTTGTTGTCCTGGAAAGTGATAACCGGAAGGAAATAGAATACTTGTGTTATCTGCAAACTCAGTTCATGCATCTGTTAGATCTTTCGGGTGACCTGCATTGGCAGATTTGACGATGACAACGGATTGCAGCCATCTGTCCTTTATTACATCTTTCATTGAGGTTTACACCTCCGTGGTTGAAATCTTAGACCCTGTTTTCATTAAAGGGGTTCCCAATGGGAAAACATATTGACCTTAAGGTCAATTCTTCTATTTGTGCAGCGTAGGATTGTTTCTAGTGATGAAAAACACACATAATCAGTTCATGAAACATTTCTCCTATTTAAGTTTTACATCAATAACTGACTCTTTTGTTTCATTCTCCAAAGTGTGAAGAATGCCAACTTTTGTAAGATACATTGTTACTCTAATAATTTTTTTCTCCATCTCTGTCTCCCTCCTTGTTTGTTCTTGGTGCACATGAGTACCTTGCCTATTTATAGTTGAGTCAGCTTCCAAGTTTGTACTTCAAAAATTTAAATAGAAGCATCACATCCTCCGCAAACTAGCCCGCCATTTTAGCTATAACTATGGTTTAGACGATTGTGCCATAATGCCATGAGATGCCCAACAGCACAGGTCTTCGTTACGTGCAATTCATTGGTCAACTGTTCAATCTTGGCCGTTCTCTTGTGCTGATTATTGTATATGCTACTTTCTATGGTTGCTAGGCTGAGAAAGGTTATGATAATCACAAATTGGAGGTAATACATACCTTTCCTGTGATTTGGTGTGTTCTATTGCAACAGTACTGTGTGGAACAATTTTCAGGTGCCTTTTGTTTTCATAATTTCATGTCCAATCATTCTAATGGCCCTCTAGGTGTTGAGGTTGATGACCTGTTATGTTTATATTGCTTTTTGTTTCTGCTGCAGACTGTCTCTACACCAGCGGTATGTAAATATTGGATTAAAAAGTATCGCCGCCAGGTAAATTATGCTCCATTGGCTGTATCGAGGGGTGAGTGCATATTTTACATTTTGAACAATTCCCCTTCATATTGGTTATATACCTACTGAAAAAGTTGGTTACCGAGGATTTTTGTGATGTTTACAAAACTATAGTACTTTTTTATTAACCAAGGCAATGGCCTTAATTTTAGCAAAATTGTTTCGAAAGGCCTCCTTGTTTCTATTTTGGGCTCGCTTCTGGTATTATATTGCTTCCTACCATTTCAAAACTGTCATTTATCAGGGACTGGGTTGTTGAATGATTCCAATTACAGCCATTTAGGCTTATAATGTTGTTAAGGATAAATGATGCCTTCTGTATTATCATTCATAGAGGTTTATATGTGGTAATATGAAGTGTGGGTGCGTGGCACATAGTGTTGCATTAAATTGAAATATTTTCCCCTTAGTGTTGGATCACTGCATCTAGTTTTTCCCCCATGTATCGTTCCAAAAGAGTTGCGTGCAAGTCTATGTGTTGCCTTCAGTTCGAGTGAATGTTTTTGTCTTTTATAGAACAATTGTTCTCCGTGTACCATATACAGGTCTCAGTCATGTTGCAACTTGTTTGTATCTAGGTCAAGTATGAACTTCAAACTGTCCTTGTTTGTTTCTAGGTCAATTACGAACTTCAAACTGTCCAGATCAAAACGTACGCATGCAGTTGTATCGGGGCAATGGAATAAAAGTGTATGTTGTGGTGCCTTTGAATCTATAAGTATAAATTTATGCTACTATGCGTTCAAAAATAGCTACTGATGAAACTGGCAGTCTTTTGTTGAATGGATTGACCATTGCTGCCTAGCTTATGGAAATATCACATCCATGTAGCACAGCCCGGAAGTGGTGGATAAAACAGCTTCTTGATCTTATTGTAACTTGTTTCGATGCTACTTTTTACTGTGTGGATGCAGGAATACAAGAGGTAACGGCATGCATCATAATGTCTTAATATATAAATTGGATTTCATTTTCATTTAATCCAATTCAAAAAAAAATTATATCCGATTTCCATTTTAAGAAAAATAAAACTCTTTCTTTTTGGTAATTTATAGTAAGCAAATTTAATAGGCTGTTTTTTTCAATTGTTTTAGAGAATGAAATGGGAATTTAGTAGGCTGTTTTTCAATTGTTTTAGAGAACGAAACATGATACAACAATAAGAGATTAGATCAAGTGGAACTAACCGATGAAATAAGAGTGCTAAGGAATCAATAATATGATGAACAGATGAAAAAAGAGAATGCAAAGGAGTCAATAAATTGGTGAAGTGATTAGAAAATAGAGAGAAAATGAAGGATTATCACAAAGGTTCATACTTATTAACAAAGGTAATTGTTCTTCTAGAAAAAGGGTGGTAATTGTAATAAAAAGTTCTAAATAATGTATCTTCATTTATCACATTTATCCAGACAGCCATTTATATCATAAGAAAGAGCAAATATATGTTTCCCAATTGTAATTAAAAAGGGCGTTTTTATAAGAAAAAGTATTAATGCGTGTAAAAATTTACAAATGGTCTCCATATTAAAGGACAATTTAATAATAGTAATTAAGAATATATATTGAATTAGGCCTTTAGGAAAAATAAATTAACTAACTAATTGAATTAGTATATATGGGTCGGTTTAGGTTGAATTTAGCTAAAAGCACGACCCAATTCATATAGAGTGCATCGGTTTTATTGAGGTAAAATAACTACTCACGATATTATTGAATTGGTTTGGGTAAAACTATAAATTTGTGGGTTGGATTGAGTTGGGTAGGGGTATTCAATTTTTTCTTCTTTCATATATAATTATAAATGATGTGTGACATTTTTTTAATAAATAGATTAGCTTATTACTGTTTTTTTAAATCACCAAATTTCTAAATGGTCATTTTGGACCTTTTCACACACTCATATGTCTATCTCCATGGTCATTCTTACTTTTTGACTGTTGTAGATGACTACACAAGGCATACTTGGATATTCTTAATGAAAAACAAATCTGAGGCTAGGTCCTTCATCATGCAATTCATTAGTTTGGCATTTACATAACTTGGCAAGACTGTGAAGCAAGTTAGAACTGAAAATGGTAAAGACTTCTTCATGGACACCTACTTCAAAGAAAAATGAATTTTAAATCAAAGGACCTGCATTGAGACACCTCAATAAAATGTTGCAGAAAGAAAGCATAGACACATTTTAAATGTAGTAAGAGCCCTTATGTTTCAATGCAATCTCCCAAAAAATTCATAGAACTTTGCCATCAATCACGCAGTCTTCTTAATCAACAAATTTCCTTCTCCTGTAATCAGCTCCAATTCTCCTTATGAATTACTTCATGGCTCACATCTTAACTATGACAACATTAAAGTGTTTGGCTGTCTAATGTTTGCATCAACCATTAGGTGTCAAGGGTGTCTTTCTTAGTATCAAGCCAGGCACCAAAGGTTACATATTCTGAATCTTCACACCATAGAAATATTTTTTTTCCAGAGATGTCTCATTTTATGTTGCCTCCATCACCTACAAGAATCCTTGATTTATGATCTTCCTTTCCTCAAACAACCTCATGATATCGCACCTACATTTTTTCCTCAATCCTCTACTCTTGATTTCAATCCACCTAATATACCTATAATCCCTCCTCACCAACATTTCCCTATACATATTCAATCTCTTACACCTATCAAAATTATTCCTTCATCCACCAATGATCACACTTCAGTACCCATACCAAACTCCACACCTGACATCACCTCAAAAGTTTCCAACATGCAAAGACCCGAAAAACTTGATGACTTTGTTTATAACAATCTCATCTCTTGTCCACCTTTCACACATGATAACTTCCCATAACCTATTCAACCTTACCTTAGCCACCCGTCTTTTCCTTCCAGCTCAAGCCATTACATCTTTTCTGTTATCTCTCAAGATGAACCAATCATTTTCAAACTGGTCTCTCAACACGAGTGTTGGAATAAAGCCATGCTCAGTGAATTACATGCATTACAAGTTAACAACACTTGGATACTTACTCCTTTACCACCAACCAAGAAGGAAATAAGATGTAAAATACTTACTCCTTTACCACCAACCAAGAAGGAAATAGGATGTAAATGGATGTCCAAAATAAAACAACATGTTGATTGATATGTAGAAAGATATACAACTTGATTGATTGCTAAGGATTACATACAAACTGAAGGCATTAACTACATGGACAATTTCTCTCCAGTTGCCAAAATGACAATTGTTAGACTTCTTTTGGCTACAACTGCTTCCAAACGATGGTATATTATTCAACTTAATGTGAATAATGTCTTCCTCCATGGTGATCTTGAGGAGTAAGTCTACATGACACCACTTCTTGGGTTTGTTCCACCAACTCCTGGTCATGTCATTTGCAAACTACAAAAATCAGTGTATGGCTTGAAATAAGTGTATGGCTTGAAACAAGTTAGCAGACAATAGTTCTCTAAATTGTTCACCTTTCTTATTTCCTTGCATTATAAGTAATCTCCTTAAGACCATTATCTCTTCACAAAAATCACTAACCACAACCACACCATTTTAGTCATATATGTTGATGACTTGATCATCTCGGACAGTGACTTGGATGAAATACATGGTTGAAATTCACACTTGACATCACCTTAAAAATCAAAGACCTTGGACACCTCCAATTTTTCTTAGGTGGTTCGTTCCTCACTTGGCATCTCAATTTTCCAAAGAAAATATACCTTAGACTTTTTACATGACACAGGCCTTCTTAGTGCAAAACCTACTTCCATACCCATGACAAAAGCTCACAAATTCTCCATTGTTGATGAATCTTCTCCCACTGATCCAACTACATATAGAAGGCTCATTGGGAGGTTAGTTTATTTATGTATCTCAATTTTCCAAAGAAAATATGCCTTAGATTTACTACATGACACAAGCCTTCTTGGTGCAAAACCTGCTCTCACACCCATGACAAAAGTTCACAAATTCTCCATTGTTGATGAATCTTCTCCCACTAATCTAACTGCATATAGAAGGCTCATTGGGAGGTTAATTTATCTATGCACGACTAGACCTGATCTAAGTTATTTTTTTCAACAGTTAAGCCAATTCATGTCATCTCCTACCACCCTCCACCTCTAAGCAGCTCATCGTGTTCTTATATACATCAAACAATCCCCCTCTCAAGGATTGCTTTTCTCCTTCACTTCTACTCTCAAACTCGACGTTTAATCACAAGATTTTGCATCTTCCTAAGAGACTCACTTATTTCATGGAAATATAAAAAGAAAATCACGGTCTCTCGTTCATCGTCGGAAGTTGAATATTATGCACTTGCTTCCATCGTTTGTGAACTTCAATGGTTGACATACATGCTGTTGTACCCCAAAATTTTCCCTCTCATTTCTCAAAGGATCACCCTGGACCCTCAGGTTTGCTTTCATCCAGTTTCAAGCCTTGAATTACAAATTTTCCAAGAAAGTCATTCACAAGGGCAAAATGGTCATTTGCATACTGAAAAGTCAAACTTTGACTTTTGGATCAAAGTCAAGTTTCAAGAGTCATATTTCATCAAGACATGTTGAAATATGAAGTTTATTTCATCAAGAAAATTCAAAAGTCAAAATTACTTTGGAAAAGTAAAAATTCTAAATACTTAGAATTTTTCTAAGTATTTAAGAAATATGACAAGCTCAAAACTTCTTATCAGATTATCACCATGATGCAAGCTGATTCTGAAAGAACTTCTGACACAAGAGTTTTAGATCTAAATAAGACCTAAAATATCACAGAACAAAACTTCTCCTAGAAATGCTGGGATTTCAAGTCAAATCCTCAAAGACACGTCCCTGAAACTGAAGCATTCAACAAATTATGGACACTTTCAAGACAGAGTTTGGTCAGAACTTCTGGGCCAGTTTTCACAAAGATTCAGTCAGAGTTTACAAGGATAATTCAAAGAAGATTTACAAAGCGTGTTACAAGCTCCCTGGAAAGTCTGAGAGCTCATTCAGAACATGCTGGAGCAAGGAGATACAAAGATCAAAAGTTGGATGTTTATTCTAAATTACGCTGAAGCTAAACTTCTGACCCAGAATTAAACAATGATGTAAAATCTCACATTGCAGGATTTCTAGTTTGATAAATCTCATCATCATTTAATGCTCACACCCACTTTTGAGTCTTTATCCAAAGCATTTTCCCACGTGTGGCATAAAAGTACCATTGTTGTCCTTGAAAAGTAAACTTTTGTACAAATTTTATGTTAGGCCCATGCTTTTCTTTTGCTTCTGAGGGTACTTTTCCATAATTCATGCTTACAAATTCAGATTAGGCACGGCTAAAAGCTTCTAACCACCCTACTTTGTGCCTTATTTGTTTCAAAAACAAGTCAGCGCTCTAGCATATGGTGGCTATACTCTTGACTTCTCCAAGCTCCAAAATCCTTGCCTATAAATTGAACTTTATTTACAACTGTAAAGAGGTCGGAAATTTGAGAAAGAAAAAGCCTTGAACCCCTGATAAAATTCCAAGAGTTCAAAACTGCAAACACAAAAATACAAAACCTATTAGCTTTTGATTCTTGCATTCAGACTCCATTTTTCCTCAAGTGTTTCTTGACCAAAGCCATCCATACAATTTTAGATATACATTCAGAAGCCATCCTAACTTCTATAGTCAAACTGTAACACACTCTCCATATTATCCCTCTCAAAGAAGTCAGAACTTTGCTCCTTGGCTGTTCCAGAATTTTACAATCATTCATAGCCCAAGTTGAAAGTTTCCAGTCTACTAAGCACGTGAGGAAGCTGGTCAAACATCACAACCGGTCAGAACCAGACTCCAATTCACAGAATATTTTCCAGCTGTAAGGTAAGCTCCTGCTGACTCTCGTCATATTACTTAAACATTGTTAGATTTGCACGTTGAAAAACACAATGTAGACATCCTGACTCTGATTCAGTATATATTCATATATTCCATGTATGTTTGCCTAAGTAGGGAGAATTTCAGTCCAGACCTTCTTGAAGAAATTAGGACTCAGAATTAGGATTAACAAATTCATGCTTGCTTTTGATTTATAGTTCTGATATCTCTTGTTTCTGAAACATTATGAAACCTGCCATAACTGTTATATGCGCATCTTATGTTTTGTTGAGAAATGACTAAGTTGCAGA